AAAATTCCAATACCCTTTAAAATTTACGTCAAAATTCCTTCCCATCATAAACTGTCATACGTAAATTGAATGAGTTATAAAAAATACTGAAATTATTTAAAACTTTTATTTTTTTGTATGCGCAGGTAAATTGAAATTTTATTGGGACAAAATTGATATTTTATTGCAATAAAATTCTAATACCCTTTAAAATTTACGTCAAAATTCCTTCCCATCATAAACTGTCATACGTAAATTGAATGAGTTATAAAAAATACTGAAATTATTTAAAACTTTCATTTTTTTGTATGCGCAGGTAAATTGAAATTTTATTGGGACAAAATTGATATTTTATTGCAATAAAATTCTAATACCCTTTAAAATTTACGTCAAAATTCCTTCCCATCATAAACTGTCATACGTAAATTGAATGAGTTATAAAAAATACTGAAATTATTTAAAACTTTCATTTTTTTGTATGCGCAGGTAAATTGAAATTTTATTGGGACAAAATTGATATTTTATTGCAATAAAATTCTAATACCCTTTAAAATTTACGTCAAAATTCCTTCCCATCATAAACTGTCATACGTAAATTGAATGAGTTATAAAAAATACTGAAATTATTTAAAACTTTTATTTTTTTGTATGCGCAGGTAAATTGAAATTTTATTGGGACAAAATTGATATTTTATTGCAATAAAATTCTAATACCCTTTAAAATTTACGTAAAAATTCCTTCCCTCATAAACAGTTATACGTAAATTTAACAAATTCTAAAAAATTCACGTTTTTTTAAATTTTCGTTCCTTTTATATAGACAATTGAAATTTTATTAGAAACGAATTTACGTTAAAATTCCTTCTCACATTGATTCTTCTATGTAAATGTAACAAATTCTAAAGCATTCACGTTTTTTAAAATTTTCGTTTTTTTTTTATATAGACACCTCAATTGAAATTTTGTTAGAAAAGAATTTACTGAATTAGGATAAAAAAGTAGCAAAATTGGTAAAATTGGCATTCAGTTGCATAGTAATTAAAGATAAGTGGTAGTCATAGAAGTACGTCAAGATATGTACATCACTAAATATTTTCTTTCTGTTTACATTATATCTAATCATTATACTTAACCATTATACTTAACCGTTATACTTAACCTAACCTAACCACAATTTTATAATAAGTACAAGTGTTTGTCTCTATCATCCTGACAAAGAAAATTCCAATAAATTCTAAGCAACTCACAAATTGCTTAAAAGCATTGTTTCCATATGCACAAATAAACTGACAGTTTCGCTATATCTAATTTGAAGTAAACGTTTACGTATGTTTGGGCCACGAATAGTATGATGGCGGCGTTCAACATCGTTACAGTTGCCCTATTTCCGGACCCCTGAAACATGCTAATTAAACTGGCTAATAGACGGTTCGGCCTTGGCTGCCCATCAATCGATTTAACTACAAATTCAATTGAACGTTACTTATTGGACGGGAAAAATAATTACTCGCCCGAGAGGTTCAACTACCGTGACGCGATGAAAGAGGGTACACAGACCTTGTTAACTCATCGCATTCGTTCAAATTTTCGTGTTATTCAATAAATTAACATCAATCGCTTACGTTTTTTATTCTATTATATCCAACTTTGTGCATTCAGTATTGCTCTTTGTAGATATAACATTCGGTATGTCGTTGCAATTGATAGCGTTTAAATTGAATATGTACAGCTAATTTGATGGATAAGATAAAAAAGTATAATTAGAATGTATTGGAATATGGGGTGGTTATTTAAGATTTATTGAAAACTGAGGAATTTTGATATTTGAAAGTTGGATAATTTGTAAAAATGACGATTTGGAAATCGGATACTTTAGATAGGAAATTTGATAATTCAGGCGCTAAATTATTAATTTTAAAGACTTTGTGGCTCAAGAGTTTCAAGGGCTTAGAAATTTCGGAATTTAGAACTCTACTTGAAGATTAGGAATGTGAAAATTTTTACTAAATAAAATCGTGCATTTATATTCCAAAACAAGAAATCTCTCAAGTACAAATACCATGAAGTTTGAGTACATATGTATAACATAACAATTTGACGTCTTTTAAATTCCTGCGAAACCTCGTTGAAACTGTTGATTTAATTTCGATTGTCATTATACGTACTCGCTGCATAAATATTTTCTCTTGTCACTTTACACGTTAACTGAGAGAACATTTCAACGTAGTCTGAAGCTAAAGTGCAGGATAATCCAACGAATTATGTTTTTCCATCGAAGAGGATACGCGTACGTCTGTCGCTTTCGGTGTTTTCCCATTTCGCGTAGCAAAGAAACGACTCGTAATATCCTCTGCTTCGGGTTAATTGCGCATTGATAACTAACGAGCTTCCTTTGTGCGAACTGTCAGCGAGACGAAAGACCCCGGCAAATTTCATTCGACGCGCCGGATTAAACGCTTTTACCCGCATGGAACGCGAACTGCTAACTCGCTATGCACAATCGTGCGTTTAATCCGTCCCGACTTCGCTTACTTGTTTCACGTATTAGTTCTTGCACGTGGATGCGTTTTCCCGTGACGGAAAATCGATGGTCGTTTTGCTTTTAACACTCCGGAAAACTGAACTCTCTTGGCAGGATGTCGAAACGACGTCTGGAATCTGAATAGAGGCACATTTGGACGTGGGTGCGTTTGGACAGTTTAAATTTGCCGCCTTAACGGCAAATTTAAACTTAACGTTGACTGTCACACTGAAACAGTTAGAATTTTAGTTTAAATTTTTTTTTACTTTTAACAGGTCTTACTACATTTATTTATGATATTTTATTTTATTTATTATTATTTTGTTATTATATTTCTTATTATTATGGATTATCTAATTGGGCAGTTTAAATTTGCCGCCTTAACACGTTAACTATCACACTGGAACAGTTGGAATTTTAGTTAAAATGATTTTTTACTTTTAACAAGTCTTACTACATCTATTTACGATATTTTGTTTTACTTATTATTATTGTTTTGTTATTATGTTTATTATTATTATGGGCTACCTAAAAGGACAGTTTGAATTTACCGCCTTAACGTTGACTGTCATAGCGAAGCAGTTATAATGTTGATTATAATGTCCTTTTATTTTTATCAACTCTTACTCAATTTTGGTACAATATACTGTTTTATTTATTATTTTTATTTTTCTTATGCAATTCAACGAAATAATTAAACCGTGGACGAATAATCCATTTCACAGAGAAAATTAATTATAGCTCACACCTGTTTTATTAAAATACCGTTGAATCAAAGACCGAACTACGTGCATCAGAAAATTTTCATGAAATTTATGAATGGAGCTAAATATTAAATTCCGGATCGTGTATATTAAGAGATCTCAAAATTTATTATTCGCATATTGGAAATTCTATTGTCTCACGTCCGTTTTTTTCTTGACATCTTCATTCGCAGGACAAATTCCACGAACATTCTGTCACTATTCGCGGAAGGATGACACATTCGTTCAAAAATATGCCCCCTGAGTAAAAGTATTGTGTCGCAGATAAAATTGTTTGTCTCGCGGAGATGTCTACAGAAATACGTATATGTTTCACGCTTGGGAAACGATTCCCACAAGAGTTCTGAGCGAAAAAGCTTGGAAACAGCCTGCGACTGCAGAATAGTTTCGCGAAGAGATGTCGCTGTTTTGTCTTGACCCAAGTAGCGTTTAAGGTTAAACTCGACCTGATTTTGAGAAGCAAGGGTACATCGTCATAATGAGTACCATCATAGTTCTCTTAAAGCAAGCGAATGGGACTCATTTGACTGCAAGGTAACGATGATATAACTTCTACGTCTTTTTATGGAGTGCATAAATGTGCCATATTTTCTTCAATTGAGTGTTAATTTACTAGATTTCTATGTTTTTTGTGTATATCTACTATACAAACAGTGTGTATTTTATTCAGACATGTACGAAGACGTATATTCTTAGGTGCCTAGGTTGTCTATGTCCCCAAATCCTATATTTTTGGATGTACTACATACTTATATTCTTGTATACCAATATATTCATATTGCAATATACTTATATACTAATACCTCTATATTCCAATATCGTTATACCCCTAGATTTGTATATCTTCATGTCCGAAGATTTTTAGATCTCTTGACACACGGATCACTATATTTCCAAATTCCATCAAGATCTTTCAATCATTAAATTCCTGTATTCAGAGACCCTTCAATCCTTAAATCCCTAAATCCCTAAATCCCTATATCTCTAAACACCTAAATTCCTAAGCTCTTACATGCTAAATTACTAAATTGCTAAATTCCTGAATTCGAAAATATCCTGAATTCATAAATTCTCAAATTCCTAAATTCCTAAATTTCTGAATTCCTAAATTTCTAAATTCCCGAATTTCTAAATTCCTAAATTCCTAAATCCCGCAATTTCGAAATTCCTAAAGTCCCAAATCCCCAAATCTTTCAAATTCTTTTTCCCCATATCTCAATATTTCAATGTCCCTATATCCTAGCATCCTTGACCTCTATGTATATCAGTCCATATGTACCCAATTGTAAGTCTCTAGGTTCCTCTATTCATATGTCCTCAGATTCATATATCCCTACTTCAAAAAAATGAGGTTAACTCTCACAGAATTTATATTACTAGAAAATCTCGTACTCATACTCTCATACTCTCATACTAATATTTATTTATTTATTCAAATAAAAAGTTTGAGAAATCTATTCATAAATTTTACAATTGAAAATATTTTTTTTATTTTATTTTAATTTTACTTCACTATATCACATTTTGAAATAAGCTAGTTATAATTTTGTATTAGATGTGCAACTTACTTTTTAGAGAGAAAGGAACCCGTTTTAATTGTTTTGTAATTCTTGATCATCCAATTTAAAATTTCGGAATGCCAAACTAATGGGGTCTATTTTCAATCTTGTTACAGTTCTACCACTTGCTCGAGGCGAGTCATGTAGCAAACACGACGCTCACGTATCGACATGTGACAGTATTTGCACCTACGAATCGAGCTTTCCAGAAATACAACAAAACCAAAAAGAATTTGGTTCTCTACCATATGTGTAAGTACTTTACATTTAATTCTCATTAGTCCTTATCAATTCTTTTTGAAGATTTGCACTTATGCACCATAAAATTGAATCTTTTTTATAAGAAATTATTGAGTTGTGATAGTAATTGTTAACTCTTTGTTGTTCGATTTTTCAAATTATAAAATAATTACGTTTCTTAATTATCACGACTAATTTTAATAAACAAACAAATAAATAAATTTTAATAAATAAATTTGTTAAAAAATTGATGAAAAAAAATTGGTGAAAAATATAGTAAATTTTCAACTATTTATACAGCAATAAAGTTTCATAATTAAAAACATGAAAAATAATATGGGTAAATTTAATAATTGTTTAATTTGTTGTTCATTTATGTCCGACAAAATACTGCTAAAAGAAAATTGAGAATTGTTATTTATTAAAAATAAATGAATATCCTTGACTACAGATTCTTTAATGCCTGTTCGTAATTAATACTTCTTGCGTTTTGATTACAAAAACTTCTGCTGTGCTTGCGAATGCATTCCCAGAGAGAGTTATTGTTTGTGTTACAGTTTACCTACACCCTTGTAGGTGCGTTAACTTTTATTAGAACAGAAGTTGCAGAGTAATATTGGTCTTTACGGGCCCATGTTAATGTAGCTTTCAACGTGTTTCATGATAGAAGTAGAAACTTGTCTTGTATATTCGTTGGCTAAGTACGTGAAAGAAGAACTTCAAAATTCAACAAAATGGTCATTAGTATTTGCAATAACAGAGTATGTCATTTTTAATTAACTATGTAAGGAAACTTTGATGATTTGTATATTCCTAGATATGATTTGTGAATTTCAACGTTTCTGAACTTACAGATTTGAAAATATCGAATCTTTCAATTTGTAAATTTAACAGTTTGAAAAACTAAATCACTCATTCATCATAGTAAGATCAGCACGCGTCAGACACGCTTATTTGATCATCTGTCCGTGTGGAACCACGTATTGGTCTAATCAGTGCATTAATCCCGCGAATTTCGAATTTTGGGCTGTCGCTCTTTGATCTTACCGAACATGGTACGACATGTGTATCTGCAGCCATCATATGCAGAGAGACCTCGCATGCATCAGTACATCTATCTGCGAAATGCTGTTGAACTTAGACGTACAAAGGGACTGCATTGAACTCACATTAAATATTCGCAAGAATTCTATATTGCATGTAATTCAAGGTACTTCGATATTCATAAATGAAATTTTAGTATTAAGTGTACTTGAGATACAGTATTCGTTCCGTTTTGATTATCTTCCACATAATTCAAATATTCAAAGCAAATATTTTTTCTTAAAATAAGCACCACTATCTCGTGTCTCTATAGACCAATTCTATCCCTACACTACGGTTACCACCGCAAAGATGAAGATATAGCATATCATTTGATATGCAACGATCCAGACTTGTCTCATTTCCTATTCCGATGGAACATTCGAGCGTATCGAAATTCGCAATCACAGCAATCGTGTAATAATTAAATAATCTCTTGATTGTGTGGATTAAGAGCGAGTGTTCGATGTCATAGGATCGATCGTTTGAGCTGTCGACGGAGTTTACGAGCGAGATATTGCTAATTATTGATAAAGCAACGCGCCAACATCACAAATTCTAACACATCGTGGACCACAATGAAGGATTAGCCGGTTGTAGTAAACTGCAATAATACTCTGTTATAGTAACGCATGAACATAGTCGTTGTACCGACGAAGACCGGCTTTAAGGAATAAACAGCTCCTTGGGGATTAATATTAATCGATACGCTCGGTGTAACACTCGAGACGCTTCGAGTTGCTAAAGACGGACGAAGAAGACTCAATTCTGCTCGATTGTAAATTAGACAATATAATCTTGGTTTTACATTAGAATTCAGATTGGAATTTAGCGTTTTATTTTTTTTCTGAAAAGAATATGAAGAAGTATCAGCTGATGCAATAAAAAATATATGATTCCGTTTAAAAAAAGATTAATGACCTTCATATGTCCTTTACATGTCCACCTACAAAAAAAATATACCACCAGTATATGTCCTCTCAAAACCGTTCAACTTCATCTGAAACATTGTTTGCTATGAGTAATAATAATGACGCAAATCTAAATGGCAAAATGTGGTAAGTCACCTTGTATATGACAATGTTCTCTACGCAAGTAACGATTACTGTCAATTTCACGACAATTGGCGTCAATGATGACCTAGTACAGTTGTCAACGATGAGTAATAAAACTTTTAACGTCCAGTCGATTCTGTGTGTCAAAAATTATTGAAAACGATACCAAAACACGGTTTTTTTATCGATTCAATAACGATCGACAACAATGATGACAGATTCCTATCGTCAGTGTTATGTCGTGCTCTTCGCAATATTTTTTGAAGGCGGCACGATAGGTGCACCCAATGTGCTGGGTAAACTTGATTGTGTATAAGTAGGTTAAAAAATTCATAATATAAGCAGAGTGCTGAATGAGTTTACACAGCATTAGGTTTTTAGTAGATTTAAAGTGAACTTGTTGAATGTTAGATCGATGCTGATATTTGTACATTTTGGTATCTGCGAAGTAAATAAATTTTTGGTGATAGAGTGGTGGTTGTACCAATTGCAATATAAGTTGTAGAAGAAGGAAATGGAATAGAGGGAGGAAATAGAAGATAGAGAGAGGAAGGCTGAATTAACGGTTTGGGTGTTCAGGTAGTTGGAAAAAACTTCTAATTTTTAGGAACAAGTTTAGAGTTTAGAGCATGACGGTTAGGTTAAGTTAATATGATTTGAAAAATATGGTGCCCTAAAACAACTTGAGTTTTCCCCCGACGTCATGTATAACCATAAACGGTTTAGGTTCTATCTGTACAATACTACGCTATAGTCAGATCATCGCCAAAATCTAAATCAAATCTAGACTACAAGTTGTACATAATTTTTCAAAATATTATTTCCAAACTTTGTCGGAGAATGTAATTTAGGTGTCGAACCAATCTCTCATTTACAAGCACCAAATCATTCGGTTGAATCATTTGCATCCTTCCAACTAATTTCTGTCAGAACCAATTGATTGTTTTACACCCTGGTAGTCGTAGTTAAACCAAGTTGTCTGTGCTAACAGAAGGAACATTTCCCTACAAATTCAGACGAAGAAACATGAACAGGGATGAAACGAGCGTCCCTTAGACAATCGGGTAACACGAGCAAGGAGCAATTTAATCGTGTGCGGTCTCGATTCTATTCGAACCTGGAGTTCGACTACTGTCGTAGTCAACCACTGTGAAGAATAGCATGGAACTGGTCTGATAGTCAAAGATCGATTAGTTCAGAATTGAAATGTTATACACCGTTGTCTTGCGATTGACGACTCGAAAGAGAAAATGTTGTCTCGACAAGTGAACTTTTCAAATTTTCGTGTTTCCAAATTATTCAAAAACTGAATTTTCAAATCTTTTAACACTAAACCAGCACATGATGCGTACTTAATTTTAAATTAAAAATGAAGTTAAAAAAATAAATAAACAACGAAACATAAAGTGGTATACAAATTTATTCTTTATTTTGATGAAAATCAATACTGATTCCAAAATGGACTTTAACGAATTAACTTTTACTTTTGTCTCCGTCTAACGGTATTAATCATTATTAATTATTCCTTCTTGTATTCGCATGTTTCGATTCAATTTTGTTCTCTAATTTTCCTCACGTAATTTGACTGTAATTTTATAATCGTTCTTGAATAAATAGTCTTTCTGTTTTGTACATAATTAATTACGACACTTTATTCGTCCACGGATCTCCTCGCCTTCAACAATACGTGGGAAGTGGTTTCTCGAACGAAAAATTGTGACGTTATCGGGAGTAGAATAGTTTTACGAAATAAATGTCGACCGGATGGAACTATTGAGAAAAGGAAGGCGCGTCTTGTCACCGAGAATTCATTTTAATCAGACATTTGCTCCTGTAGCTAGATTAAGTTCTATTCGTCTTTTAATTGCTATAGCAGCGCGTTATGGAATGGCTATTGAACAGTTTGATGTCACAACAGCATATTTGAATGGTGTATTGGATGAAGAAATATTTATGTCACCGCCTAAAATGTTAAATGAAGCGTTGGAATCACTTATTGAGTCAGAAGGTAAAAATAGTCAAATTAAAATTAAGACACAACGCATGTTAAAGGAACTATCGTCTGGGGACAAAGTTTATCGTCTCAAGACATCTCTATACGATGACAGGCTGGAAAGTGCTGGTATAACCGACTGGACAAGGCTCTGAAGAAATATGGAATGTCAAATTGTCACGGGGACAAACGGGGTACATAATTAATTACGACACTTTATTCGTCCACGGATCTCCTCGCCTTCAACAATGTGTACCTTAATCAACAGTATTTTAGTCCTTGTCAATACAAATTCAAGAACCTAGTATACCGTTCATATAACCTTGAAGGCAAAAAAATAAAAATTTCAACATAAAATGATAATTTTATAATATACATTTTAAGTAGGTTCCGTGAACCTAATGTTAATTGCTTTCCCTAACCAAATGGCAAAATACAGATGCAGAGTAGTGCATCTGTCATGACGGTGCTTTAAATTTCATAGTCATATCCTTTTCGACGATGACGATTTCCTATATCCGGCGACTCCCTTTTGACCCGAGGCATTTCACGATTGCTATGAAGAAACTGAGCACACGAAGGAAACAAGGAATTAAGAAGGGCGTTGCCGTTTTATGAAGAAACTTCCTTTGCGCGTTTAAGACGCCTCGAGCAACAAGGGAGACTACCGGGGTCTTTACCCCCTAAACGACAAAAATTTCATTCCCGCTTCAATTTCGTTGCTAGATGAAAAATTTTGTCGCAACGAATCAGTGTTCCTCTAATGTTCCAAATTAATTATACAGTCAAGGAACGCTGGCTTTTGTTACGGTGCTATTTGTACTAATTTATTTCAAAAAGTTACATTCTCAGATAATCTATGAAACAGTCTGTCCCACAGA